CTTTCAAAACACATTTAGGAAATGTCTTAAAAGACCAAATATGCACAAAATACACAGTAAAATAATTTTGTAGGCAGAAATAACTTATTTTTTTCATTTTCAAATAAACAAAAAAGTAAGGATATAGCCCTTGACAAACTAACTAGGTTATCATTAATTCATTGTAAAGAACTACAGAAATACAAAATATTCTCTAAAACACTTAAAATAATGAATAAAAGAAAAAATATTTCATTTGCTCCTAAAAAGTACCTGCAGAATTGTCACTCTGTGATGGAAAAAGAGAACATCGGCTAATTTTGATGGGAGTACTTTGACTGAAGTTGGTACAATAAGCAGAGAGGCACCACTTGAAAGAGCAACAAATATTTCCACAACAGAGGGATCAAAGGTCAGAGGTGAAGCCAGAAACAAAACATCTTCTTGTGTGATGTCAAAAAGTACCCTAAGGCAAAACAGAATGTATTTATGAGAAATATCAAGTATTTGGTAAACATCCTAAAAAAGTTTTCTTGATGATCAAGTTTCTGAATGCTGGCCAGATTTTCTTCTTTTTTAGATTAACCACAATGGTGCCATCAATTCTGGAAATCTTTATAAAGTAATTAAAAGCCATTTAAAGCAATACCCATTTCTTACCAAATATTTTATCATCTGTGATGGCTTTCTGATGTGTCAACTTGGTTGGACTGAACTACAGTCCCCAGAATTCCCTCCCTAGTGTGCTTCCCATTAGGGTGGCAGACAAGGAATATTCTCTTATGAGTTGGAGAACAGAAGGGAGGCAGCTTCTGCCTGGTAGCACAGACCCTTCCTCCCAATTATTCAATTGAACCCTAATCTAAAGTCCATAATCACCTGATTGTAAATTTATCAAAAAGGAGTTTATCCTGGGTTGGCTCAGTTGGAAGGCCTTTAAAATAGGGTTTAGGCCTTCTCTGAAGAAGAGATCCAAACAGCAGCTGGGTCTGCAATTAATGGCCCTTCCCCCAATCTTCTTTCCTGCCTTTGCCTGTGTACAATCTCATGCCCATGGCGCTCCCACTGCTCATGATCATCCCTTCCTGACTGCTGACCTTTATACTTGCTTAGCCAGTCTTCACAACTGTGTAAGCCAATTCCTTGAAACAAATCCCTGATACATCCTCCTAGTTCTGCTCCTTTAGTAGAATCCTTATTTTGTCATACTTATTCAGTGATGCTTAATACAGACCTCTGATTCCTTTTTCCCACTATTTGGCATTTTCTCTAGAATCTTAACAAAGAGCAGAACAAAAATATATGTGGTTAGGATATTATAGAGCATGGATAGTCAATGTTAAGCCTGTGGCACTGCTTTCAATTTGAACACAAGAAACCAACTATATCTAAAAGCAAGAATTACCTTAACTTCAAAAGATTTTAAAGTATGGTATAAAGATTTAAAAAATCTAACTATGGTGTATTTATTTCCCAGGTAAGAAAAAACTCACATGTTAAAGATGTAGGGGTGGAAAGGGTGTGATACCTTTCCTTTCCATCATAAGGGACATAGCCGACACTATTATAATAAAAGACAGGTTAACAAGAGAGAAGTGTAACAAACTTATTTAATCAAAGTTTTATGTGACATGGAAGCCTTCAGAATGAAGACCTGAAGACCCAAGGGAAAACTGTTCTTTTTTATGCTTAGATTCAATGAAATGTCAACAGCCATGTAGAAATGTGATGGAACAAAGAGGGAATGATCTAATAGTAATACGCTGAGTGGGGAAACCCAACAAAGCTGTCTGTTCAGATTCTTCTTGGCCTTTCTATGACATTCTTCCTCCCAAATACAAGGCAGGACAAGGACCCCTTCTGGAATGAGGGTCCGACAAGGTAAGTAGGAGAATTTCTTTATGGCCAGCTCTTACACAGAAAGGAGGGGGAAGGTTAAAATAATATTTGTAGGTTTTATGGTTGGCTTTGGGAGAGAGGGGTTCTGGTTATGACCCACCTTAGGGAAGAGGAAGTATAGTTTCTATGGCCTGCCTTGGGGAGAAAGGGAAGCAGGAGAAAGAAGAGGAAAGGTAAAAAAGGACTTTGCTTCTTAGGCCCTTCCAATGTCCTTTCTTCAAAGTACTCAGCATACCAAGGTGCTATACTTTGGAGTATCATTTCCTGAGCCCCAACAAAGGCTACACTCAAACTTCCATTTTTAAAGGAATTATCCTTCACAAATATTGTCTCGTTTCCTAGTTAGGTATTTATAGGAGAGCAAACTTTCTAATAGGTTTCCAACAAAGTTTAAAGCTGAAAAAAATTTTCAGTGTCTCAATGATACGAACAAAAATGAGCAACATTAAGCATTCATGGAGGATCTGGCAGTTAATTTCAAGAAAGCAGCTTCAGACACATTCAATATAGAAAACGTTGAGAAAAGAGAAGAGACAGATTTTAAGGGAGGAAAAAATGAAGAATGGAACAAATGAATGTGCTATTTGTGAGGCTTATACTGGGTATCTAATATATTGTTTCTGATTTTTCCAACTCCTAAATGAAACAGGTATGGTTATGTAGGGACCCACTCAGAATCCCAGAGTTGGGAGGAGTTTATTTTAAGCTGAATACCTTTGAGATTCAACAAATGTAGTAAGAAGCCTGCTAGGAGCTTCCCTGTTTCCCTTATCTGACTAAAATCAGAAACTTCTAGTTAATGAAGCTGCCATAAAACTTCCTTTTCAGAGTAGCTTTTACTCCCAAGAAGACGAAGAATAAACCTACCCAAAATGCCCTCTTTAGGGAAAGTTTTATGGCCATTCATTTCTTCAGAAAGACTACTGCACCTATATACACAAGCATTATCACAAACTTTCTTATCACCTTTTTAGCTTTCCTGAAAACCCATTTTGTCTTTCCTAAAAAATTCATTTGTTCTTCCTATAGAAGTCCCCCCCATCTCCCCCTCATCCCTTTTCCCTACTAAATTAGGTATATAAGCCTTTAATTTTAACCATTTATGGAGCTATTTCTTTTGTAAACTTCCATGTGCATAGTAATAAACTTTTTCTCCTGTTAATCTGTCTTTTGTCAGTTTAATTTACAGGTCCCCCACCGGGTACTGAGCATAAGGAGGTAAAGGTAAAGTATTCCTTCTTCTTTCTCCCACTTCTATTTTAAAATAGAGAAAACTGAAGTGCAAAGTCATAAACACCAACGAATTCTTAAATATTTTTAGAAGACTTTAAAATTGTACCTTCCTGTTTTAATATAAACAGAATATTTAATATTATTAATTTAATAATGTAATGTTAGAAGAGATGTCTTTCTAAAAATCTAGTTTTAAAAATGTCAGTTGAGGGGCTGGCCTGTGGCTCACTCGGGAGAGTGTGGTGCTGATAACACCAAGGCAATGGGTTTGGATCCCATATAGGGATGGCTGGTTAGCTGACTGGGTGAGCATGGTGCTGACAGCACCAAGTCAAGGGTTAAGATCCCCTTACCGGTCATCTTTTTAAAAAAATAAAAAAATAAAAATAAAAATGTCAGTTGAGAATTCAACAAGTAAAATAACTAGCTCTCTTCAAAATACATGATTATAAAAAATTCTCTTAGGACTTCCGGTCAAGATGGCACAAATCAACCGATTTACAACTATAAAAACATAACATCAAGTGCACACGGAATGGGGAGATGTCCAGCGGAGGAGGTGGAAGCGCTGCGGAGACCACATGCCATGCAGGGCCACTGCCATGCGATCCAGCAGATAAGCTTCACTGCCACCACCTGGCTCCATCCCCAGCCCGGCCCAGTGTGCACGGAGCAGGCAGACGTCTGGCAGGAGAGGCAGAAGCTCCACGGGGACTACACCGCCACTGCGCGATCCAGCAGCCCGGCCCAGTATGTGCGGAGTAGGGAGACGTCCAGTGGGGGAGGTGGAAGCTCCACAGAGACCACACTGCCACCTTGTGATCCAGGAGCCCGGCCCAGTGTGTACGAAGCAGAGAGACATCCAGCAGGGGCAGTGGAAGCTCCGTAGAGACCACATGCCCTGTGGGGCCACCGCAGCGTGATCCAGCAGGTACGCTTCACCGCCGCCACCCGGCTCCATTCCCAGCCTGGCCCAGGGCACACGGTGAAGGGAGACGCCCAGCAGGGGAGGCGGAAGCTCCATAGACACCACATGCCCTGTGGGGCCACCGCCACGCGATCCAGCAGGTAGGCTTCACCGCTGCCACCTGGCTCCATTCCCAGCCTGGCCCAGGGCACGCGGTGAAGGGAGACGTCCAGCAGGGGAGGTGGAAGCTGCAGAGAGACCACACGCTCAGTGGTGCCTCTGCGCATCCAAGCAGCCCAGCCCCGTGCATGCAGAACAGGGAGACGTCCAGCAGTGGAGGTGGAAGCTCAGCAGAGACCACACACCCTGCAGTACCACCCTATGACCCAGCAGCCCGGCCGAGTGCATGCTGACCAGAGAGGTGGCTCCCCAGAGAGACCCAAGACCCAAGGCAACCACACACGCAAGGCACTAGTGGCCAACGGAGCAGACACTGAGGTAGCCTTACCAAATTGGCAACCCCAGCAACAACTTAGTCAGACAATAGTGTCAAACCTGTGGACTGTGAAACCCCCTGGCACAATGAATAAACATCAAAGAAAAGGTACCAGAAGTATGAAAAATCAAGAAAGTACACCACTGAAGGGTAATAACTCTCAAGCTCTAGATCCTATAGAACAATAAGCCCTTGAAATGTCTGACAAGGAATTTAAAGTGGTAATTCTAAGGAAACTGAATGAGATACAAGAAAACTCAGCTAGACAACATGATGAA